ACTTCTTTCCTTATTCATAGCTGATAAATAAGCTATACTTGCTCTTCATTTTTGTTGTTGGTTGAACACATACATTACAGGCATTCCCAGTGCTGTGAAGTGAAAACATTGCAGCTACTATTTGAATGCCTGCATGGAGAGCAGTTAAACCTCTTCATAGTGTGGTTCCAACTGACCTCGTTGAGGTCTCCATTACAAAATGGATTTATAACTATATATAGCATAATTAATAATGACAAGAAAACAAGTCCAACAAAAGTTTTAACATTTTAACAAAGCTGATTCTATGAATCCAATTACATGTTTATAATGTTTACAGTTTGAAAGTGAAAATTTAGTTTTTATACTTATTAATAGCAGCACTTATCCAGGCTAGCTCGATTGAATGGGAGCCTGCAGAGAACAATTTAAGTATACAAAAATATACATATACAAAATATACAATGTCAAGCAATTTTAAGAGCAAAAAGTTCAGCATCGAGCCTAAATTGAGTGGGAGCCTTTTAAAATAGTAGAAGTATGACAAAGTACATAAAGAAATATGGAAAGTAAAATAAGCCCTCAAAAAAAATTACAAGATGTACATACGTTGAATATAGCATTACAGTGCATATTACATTAATTAAAAATTGAAATTGAAAAAAAATGAGAATAAAAATATAAAAACAAAACAAACTGAATTATTATCTGGAAGGCTTGAATCCACCATAAAGCAATACCTATGGAAACTAAACAAGGCTAGAAAAGGCTATTCCAAATTTACCTTTGTCTGGGATGGACTGTTGTAATGTTGTACAAAATGAACTTGAGGATGACAAGGATAGGTTCTGTATTGTTAGACTTTATCTTGATGACACTGGGCCAAAACTAGGGTACACATGTTGAACTTGTGGCAAAGACTTGCAAGGACTCCAACTCATTGTTAATTAGTTTGAGAATGTGGTTTCTTGATTTGTTCTTTAATCTTTTCTAAAAAGAAAGTAAAACTCAAAGAAACAATCCTAGCAATGCTCACTGTCAGTTTTATGGGAAGCCAACAGTCTATAGGGACACTAACTACTTCTCTATTGAAGTTGTAATTTAGATTGGTGATGTCTTAAGAAAACTAATAAATGAATGAGCAATGAAATTATTAGAATTTAATTGAAACCCTAAACAGCAATGTTAGGGAAAAGACTAGTTGTGTTACAGTGAAATATAAAATGCATGATGACAAACTATATTATACCTCAAAAAGCTGAAAAAATATCAAAAAGCAAAAAAAATATCAAAAATCAAAAAGCAAAAATACCTATTAAAATTAAACAAGGCTAGAAAAGGCTTCTGCATTAATTCCCATACAGCAAGTAGTAAATTTACCTTGGTCTGGGAAGGACCTCTGTAATGTTACGTGAAATTAGTGTGGATGAGAAGATAAATTTGATATTGTTGAACTCTATGTTGATACCTAGCCCAATCTCAGGTAGGCATGATGAACTTGTGGCAAAGACTAAGAAGGACTCCACCTTGACTAGGAACGTATCCTAGAGAGAACCTAAGCAAATATTCTTTGGAATTTGCTGGGAACTGTAGAAAACCCTTGATGTCATCTATAGTCAATTCACTGTCTCCTGCAACAAACAGTTCTTTGATGTTGGGGAACGTCTCCAAGACCAATCGAGAGATACCAGCTATTGCTTCAAGGACAGTAAGGTTCCTTTAGTACTTTCATCTTGTTACCATTCTGAAAAGAAACTGATCATATACAAAGAAACAAGTAATTGAGTATGTTTCTGTATTCTTTCTAATATGTTGGTTGTGAGGGTTTGGTTTCTTGCCTTGAATTGTAGAAAACCCTTGATGTCATCTATAGTCAATTCACTGTCTCCTCTAATAAACAGTTCTTAGATGTTGGAATATATCTCCAAGGCCAATTAAGAGATACCAGCTATTGCATCATTGACAGTAAGGTTCCTTTATCACTCTCATCTTGTAATCGTTCAGAAAAAAGAAAACTGGTCATAAATAAAGTAACAAGTAATTAAGTATGTATCTGTATGCATCCTAACTAGTTGATAGTGAGGGTTTGGTTTCTTGATTTGTCCATTTATCTGTTGAGAAAAGTAATTACAACTCAAGGAAACAATCCTCACAATCCTTGCTGTCAATTTCATGGGAAGCCTATAATCTGCAAGGGCACTAACTACTCCATTATAGAAGTCCTAATCAAAATTGGTGACATCTTCAAAAATATGACAAATGACTGAGCAATGAAATCATAAGAACTTGTTTGAAACCCTAAACAGCTACATCAGGACAATGATAAGTCACTACCTGTAAGGTTACAAAGAATAGCCACAATAATATTTTAAATCAAGTTATAGAGATATCTTTACTAATCCATAGCCTTTACTTATTCTATTATGACTATTATTATATATTTTGTATGGCAATATAAAAGTTGTTTAACTGTTGATTCTAAATCATGGTCGAAGGTAAAGAATTAGAAGACCAGGTGTCAGCACAGGAAACAGAAGAGTTTAAAGTTTGCACTTTATGTTGACAAAAAGTCAAGAATTCTGGTCTGCTCTTCTCCTGGTAATGTTCGCATTGATTACACAATCAACCCGGTACACACCAAAGAGCACATTTCCATGTTTCTGAATCCTATCGGGATTAGTCACAGTCCTTGCATAAATAAATTACTGAATTCCGAATTACTGAATTACTAAGCCCATCTTCCCTGTTCTCCTTGGGGTGGATTCCATCTCAACATCAAGTCTTGTTCTTAAAGGTTTTTGCGTTTCTTGTACCATTTATTCCTTAGTAGTAAATTTGGGGCAAAATATTTCGTCCAACAACTCCAGAACTCTTGTACTCCTTTCTTAGTGCTTCTCTTTAGTTGTCCTGGGCTAACACCCTGTTCTGGCTCCAGCAAAGGAGGCTGAAAGTGGTGTTCAATTGACAGGTCATTTGTCGTGACAGGCAGATTTTCCTGGATCTAGACAGAGCTAGGACAGAGAGGACACCCATTGATCAAATAGGTCATTTCTGCCAGATACATTCTTCCCTGTTCCTATGTATAGGTTTGATTCTTTGATGAAGCATCTAAGGCTTGTCTTCCTGATTTGATGAGACTTTCTATCACTCTGTTTTGATGGCTAGCTTGTGGTATTTTCCACTCCCAGTGGAAAGAGCATGAAAATTCTTCTGATAAGACATTTTGAAGTTTGGGGATGTCCCAGCCTTGCAAAGTTTTGTTCAAATAACTTTGTATGTCAACAAAGTTTGTACCTCGATCCAACCAACAGTTACTGGGATATCCTCTGAGTGAGGCAAATCTCTGAAAAGCCGTATATGAGCTGTCTGTTACAAGCTCTAGGTGGACTACTCTTGCATGTAAATGTGATTTCTTGTGCTTCCTTCAGTGTTTTTCTGTTGATTCTTATTTGCAGAGGTCCAAACATGTCAATTGCTGTGTTGCTGAACACTGGGAGACCTGCTGCAATGTTTAGTCTCAGAATCTGACTCATCATTTGACTTTGCAATTTCTTGCAGGTCAGACATTTACCAGTTGCTTGTTTGGCCATATTTTGTACACCCACGATCCAGAAACGCTTGCTTGATTCATAGATGAGACTTTTGTAACTGCAATGTGCTTGCTTTTAGTAAAGGTGTTTCAAGAGTATTAATTGATGACCTTGGAAGGATAATGGGATTATGCATCTCATCTGGTAACGATCCGATGTTCTCTAGTCTCCCATGTGCACATAACACACCTTGTTCATCTGATGCTGGAATCAGCTTCTTGTCTACAGTATATAAATTGATTGTCTGTTAACTCCATTTGAATAACCACAGTTTAGATTCTCTCAATTCTTCTGTAAAATGGTGTCTCTTTTTTACTTTCAATCTTGTGCTGTTGGTGAATCGTAGAACGTTGGCCAAAGTTTTCCTTGCCTTGGCGAACGTCAAACAAGATTTCATCAAATATTCCAAAATAGGGTTACCTTTTGATTCGTTGATGTAGCTGAGCAATCTACTTGTTTTAGGGTGTTCACAGCTTTGAAGTTGTTGAGCAGCTTCATTTCCTCTGACAATTCTTCACCACATCCATTAGGATTCTCTTTAAACTTGGGTGATTCTTCTTCTAGGCATTTCAGGAATGGAGGACCTTCATACCAGGTCTTCAACTTTTCTAGCTGAGTTCCTCTCATCAGGACGTCAGCAGGATTATTATTAGATCTGATATATTTACACGCTTCAGAGTCCATTGTTTCCTGGATTTCAGCTACTCTTACCAAAACGAACAGTTTGAACTTTCTTGGAGAGGTTTTACGCGGGTTAACATGGTCTGAGAATGAATCCAGAACTCTTTCTTGCAATTGCTGATCTCTGCAAATTCTAGTGCTTTTTTACATGTACTGTATAATCTTGCAATTGAGAGGCATCCCGTCAACTCCAAGCACGGTACTGACTTTTTCTTTGAAGGGGCAACAAATGCTTTAACCACGTGCAGTATGCAGGAATAACTGCCATCTGAGAGTTTCCATCTGAGGAATATGGCCGAACCATAGGCTTTCTCTCCTCTGGTAATCCAACCACTCGATGCATTTCTCATTTTTGGCTGAGAAATGCATTTTTTAGCCAAACTCAATGTCATCTTTTGGATCTAACTTTGATAAAAGCTGAGACATTACAAAGGGTGCTTCTGAGGCATTTGTCACTACACAGCCATTTGATCCATGCTGTTTATGAAACCAAGAATTCTAGCCACTTAGTGACAAAGCAATTTCGAGTTGCACTCTACTGGCTGGAGATTTGTAATTTTGGTTCAGGGTGTATCCATTAATTTCCTTTGATCTCCAAATTTGGTATTGAGAATTTTCCACACCTGCTCAATCATTTTGCCTTGCTTGATCCAACCAAAACAGTTTTTAGGTAAAAGCTTTCTGAAGCCTTTGCAATTGTTAATCTCTGTCTTGTTTGCACTTATTCATTCAATACTGAAATTCGTGCTCCTAAGTTGTGTAAGATATTCTAACACCATCCCACGTGGGAACTGACAATTTCTCTAGCCTGTGTACTTTTGCAAACTCAAAACATCAGTCATTTTTGTTACTACTGATGTCATTGCTTCAAGCACCTCCTGTTTAAACAGCAGCTTGTCAATCACAAACGATTTCTGATAAATTGCAAATTGCTCTGCGTATTTTAAAAACTTAGCTTTGGCTTCATCACCAACTACTTGATTCTTTGTTTGTAATTCTTCTGACGCTGATTCAGTAAGTCTGTCAGCAATTGTGTCTTGCTGCTTTTTAACACTTCTCTATTAAGATTTAACTTGTTTCTATACATTTTCAAGACTACTCAAACTTGGTTCAACTTGGTAAAACACATGGAATTCAAGTAAGTCATTCAATGAAGCTATTGTGCTGTCTCTTTTTGCGATAAGTGTTAAAAAATCTATTTTAGGAGGCATTATATACTACTATCTGCATATAATAAATATAAATTTTAGTTACTAGCATAAAAGTTTGTTTACACACTTCCTAAAACATAGTATTAATGCTTCTTGGATTTCCTTAAATAGATGGGTATCTTTTGCTTGAATGTAAACAGTTTAGTTAAGTATGTGAATACTTGGTCAATTGTTGACAAGAGTAAAGTCTTTACAATAACATTAGAAGTGATATCTGAATTCTTAAACTCTTAACCTTGAACTTGGAAAAACGAGGTTAGTGGTAAATAAGGAATTGTTTTACCTTTCAGCTGTCAAATTTACCCGTTTAGTTGGGTTCTGTCAGCTTGTGTGTTTCTGAAGTCTTGAGCTTTCAAATGCCTTTTTGTCAAGCCTCGTGACTTGTTACTTGTTCTCTTCGCAGTCCTGGCTATTTGTCAGCATATGCTCTTCCCTTCTCGGCCAGTGCAGATTTTTGACTGATTTGAACTCATGGTCGAAGGTGAAGAATAAGAAGACCAGGTGTTGACATAAGAAACAGGAGAGTCGAATGTTTGCTCTTTATATTGACAAAAAGTAAAATATTCTGGTCTGCCCTTCTCCTGGTAATGTTCGCATTGATTACACAAATACTCTTGTTACACACCAAAGGGGGTATCTAAATGTTTTTTAATCCTCTCTGGATTCAGAATTTGTAAATAAATCATCAATTAGGCAAATCAACCATTATAATTTGCTAAAGAGTTGGTAAGACCAAGTTTACAAGCTAGGAATTTAAATTTACATTGCTCAGATGATGGCAAGGTTTGGCATAAGCACTTTGGGTAATAGTGCTTGCAGAGATCTTTCAATGATGACAAAAGCTAACCAAACCATTATAGTGTAGTCAGTTGTTTGTGTAGTATTTAGGGTGAGGTTGGAATTGATGATTACTTGCACTTCTGTAATGCATCTGATCCTGTCCAAATTTTCTTCCCAAATTGAGGCAGCTCACCATACTGACAACTATGTCAAAAAGTTGAACATGGGTCATGGATAATGTATTCCTTTTAACAGGCTGAGCTTGTGGTGGTGGTTCATATGGCCTTCCTTATTCTACAAAACCTAGTTTTTGTTAGCTTTATGTTTTCCTCTCTCCTTATATTGTGAAAAAATTTGGAAAGATCAAATGAGATAAAACTGAGTGGTAAATAGATACATCCACCTAGCAACATGTCAATAGACTGTTGTGTAACAGACTGCATCATTAGAGATGCACAGATACTTTAGTTAGGATACATTCATGATGTTGGAGGTATTTATATTATAAACTTGCTAGACTGTGCAGCAGTACATTTTTGTTACTTTCCTTAATTGTTCTGTAGGCTCATGTGTTAAATTAGTAACTGTGGTTGTTTGTACATGTTTTAAAATCAGCAACACAAGCCTCTCTTGACAAAACTCAGAAAGTATTACTTTAATCTGTCAGAATTTTCCTTTCAATAATTAGCTTTGTGTAACTGTTGTTGAAGAAATTTCACAGTTGTTTTGCTAGAGATATATGTGAAATTTTGATGGTGACAATGGTGGTCATAATGTCACTGTATGGCTGCTGTATTGTTTTAATGCTTTGAGGGCTTTTAAATCTTTCAAAAGGTGTTGCTAAAGAATGGTGGACCAAAAAAAGTTAAATCTAATTTTGGTTATTTCTCATAATTTTATTACCATTCCTTTTCTTGTTATTACCTCATTGAATTGGAAAGTTCAAACAGGGGCAGAGAACCTTAATAGTAGAATCTAGTTGTCTTGCACACATGCTACCTAAATGGACCCTCTGATGTTGCCTCTTGCCACAAAACTTGTCATCTGACAAATCCCACCCATTGCCAATTTTTGATGAAAGCTGTTGTAGTACTTTGATGCAAGCTTGTGGCACAAACAGTGCAGTGAGGTGGCAGTGGATTTATTTTCTTTCGATGACTAGCCATGCCATTAAAGTGACCAGTTATCAGTGTTGCACTGTTAGAAACCAGAGAGCTAAAGTCTTTCACCTTTAGACAGAGCGTGTTTTCTTTGAGTTGTGAGGAGGGTTAAGGTGGTTTTTGCATTGGCTTTGTGTAGTTTTTCAGAACATTTCAATCCGCAATGAACGTGTTTCAATGTTCTCTATTTTGTTTCCAGGAAAGATACATCTTTGACCTCAGCAGTTAAAAGACCAGAGCAATTTGCTCTCTATACCTTCCCCAACAAGTTGTCATCAAAAGAGCTGCTAATTACCAAAAATATTACACTGGAAATACTAGAACTGGAAATTCTCATGAAAACCAAACAAAGTTTGCAGATTAGCCAATGATGAGAAATTTGGATTTCAGACTTTCTCTTTGACAAGCCAGTATGCTGCGCTATATGCCTTAAACATGAGGTCATTTCTGTGGAGTTTCTTTTCCTGCCCTTTTTTTTTAAATGAAATGTAGAGTTCACAGTTTTTGTTAACAAAATATAGAGACTTGTCCCTGTATTTCAGACTCAATGGGATCTTTGTGTTGCTGGATCATCTCATAAACTGTTCACAGGGTGTGGCATGAAAACTTTTTGTTGCTTGCATAATAAGCAAAACATTCCTTCTCCTTCTTGCAAGTGTTTAGGCTCTTGTGGAACAACCAGTTGTACACAAATCTATTTTGTCCAGACCTAAGCTGAGATTGTTTGTGAGTTGATAGGTGCTAGAAATGGTCTCTAGCATACTTGTAGAAGTTGTATATGATAATGTCTGTTGAAAGGGAAAATGGTATTTCAACTTCTTTCATAGTCAGAGATGTGTCTGAAGGTGATTTCTCAAGGTTTTGCATCACCTCTTTTGTTTGTAATATTGTCATATTTCCCTCCCTTGGTTATTGAGGAAACTATCAGTTCATATGCAATCTAACTTTGAATCATCTTCACTTGCTTTGCACTGACATAAGCTGTTCTCCGAAAGTTACCTCAGCTCAACATGCCTTACTTCTCACCCCTCTATTTTCACTTATTTGGTTTTTGGTGATACTTCAGCTCAACATGCTTTACCTCTCACCCCTCTATTTTCACTTTAGTTCTTGGTGATACTTCTGAAATAGCTGCTTTGTGTGCTAGGAGACTACTTTTGCCCATTTTCTGAAATGTTTGGGAGACCATTCAAGGGTGAAGTAAAGCATATGCTCCAAGTTGCTATCAACTTCAAAGAACTGTTCATCTGTAATATTAGGTTGATTAAACAAAGAAACATTGTCCATAAAGCAACCTTGCTGCATGAACTACCATGAACTAACTTCTGTGGCCTCTGATCATTTTTCATCTCCTCTTGGTACTTGCTTTTATGTTGCACTACATCTGCACTAAGCAGATCTTGAAGTCTGTAACCCTCTTCAGTATATTTGCGAAGAGGATGTCTATGGCTTGGAAAAGCTTAACAACAGCAACTGCGCCAAGATTGAAATGTATCACTTCCAATGTTAATTTCTTTTGAATTTCTCAGCCACACCATCCCATTCAGAGATCTGTTTTGATCCTGTTTCTTGCCATGTAAGCACTTCTGCAGTAACTCATCCTCAATTAGTCTTAGATTCAGGCTTTAGCATGGTGATAACAATGCCTGATATTCTAGAAAAGTCATTTCCATGTGATTTTGAAGCTTACATTGTTTATGTCCTTGGCTTAGCTTCCACATGGTGGCACGACCATTGTGTAATAAGTAGCCTGTCTTTTTCCATTTGTCGCCAGGTTGCTGTGGAAAGATTTCTCAGTTCCAGGTGGAGGCATATTCATAACTGAGTGGAAGTGGCCTAAAATAAGACATTAAGGCTGTAATGAAAAGTTTTTTTTGAGGTATTTGGTCATTTTACCACTTTCCCCTGATTCCCAGGCAGAGGCGACTAACGACAGGTTAAACAGACCCTTCTCCACAATGGTTTCATGATGTCCTGTGTCAATGTCAAAGTTATCTTAGTATCTGGAGTAACTATCAGCTCTACTCCACCTTTTCATTAGACGTTTGATGGATATCAGTGGCATATACTGTTTGAGAGAAGTGTACCCCTTTATACTTGATCCTTGCTTCTTCCACTGCCTGCCTGCTTTTGGGGTTATAACAGTGAGACAAATTGGCTGTTAACCTTGCTAGGAATGGTCTTAGTTGGTATAGTGTATCTGTCTGAGCAGAGTCGCAAGCTGGCATCTAAGAGTTATCTTTCAGATGTAAATATTGCATTTTAGGCAACACCTTTGCAATTTCAGGGATGACAAATAGTGGATGCTCCTGGCAATTATCGAAAGAGTTCTCTTTTATTGAACGAAAAAATGTTTGTATAGTCTTACTTGACCAGACAAGGAAAGAAACAATTGTGTAAAACCAGCCATTGCACAACCTGTGGTACGACCTTACTCATCAATACAATCAAAGTAAATGTAATCACGTATCCTAAAATTCACCAAAAAAGCTGTTTCTGAGCTTTGTATGTGTAAACAATTAGTGCCATTGTTCAATTATGAGGAAAGTGTGAGATGAAAGTAGAAAACCATCCTTTGATGTCATTCTGAAATGGACTGAATTTCAGGGTAAAAACCAATTTGAGAGAGCTATTTTGTCGTCACTTGTTTGGTTTGGAGCGACATCAACTGCTGAGAAACTTCTGATGGAAGAAGGCAAGAGTCTCAAAAGATTTGGCTACATTTGTGGAGTTAAGAGGTCGAATGATGAGTTGTAGATCACGAGACTGCTCACTTTGGTGTCCTGAAATGGCCACAAATAGGCCTATTGAATTATTTTAACATTTAGTAAAATCTTACCTCTTTTCTCTGGTTAAGATTCTTGTTATTTTACTTACTTCAACCAAGTTTCTTAACTTTAATCTTCATTGACTTAACTCTTTGGTGTCCTTGAACAACCAGGAAAGTATCTATTTTCATTGTCTTTAAAACACTTGACTCAAGACATATGAAAATATATGGACACCTAAATGACCTTTTCAGTATTGGACACAAAAGTTTAAGAGATTTTTTCAGGAGAAAGGGGGTTTTGAATTAAAAAAACCAAAGTCCAATAGCAAACAAAATGACAGTAAATTCTGTGACTGCAGCGCTCTTTCGGCAACATGCTTTAAAACTCATTTGAAATTGTCATTTGGTGGTCATTTCTGACCACCAATCAGATTCTTCATATTTGGTCTCTCTGATGTGAAAACCACTCCATCACTTGCTTGTCTAGTTCGGAATTCTTGGGGGTGAAACGGCCCATTTTTGCATGTTTTGCAGTCATCATAAGCTCGCCAGAAACAATAGTCACCTGGTCTCTTCTCCAGCGCTGCACCATAGACTCGCTAAGTCTTTAATCTCAAGCAATTTTTGAGTTTTTTTCTACAGCTTCAGCTTCTGCGATAACTTTTATCTTGAAAGCCATGGTGTACGAAGAGTGGCATGCTTTTGGTATGATGAGAAAAATAACAGCAATGAAAGAGATACTCAATTTAAATGTTTGTCAGGTTACAGTAACTGAGAGTATTGTTGTGTTTCTGTGGTATTTACATCTTCACTGATTCGCTTTTTTTCTTTTGTGATTATTTTAATTCATTAGGTTTTGTGAGCCATTTCCCAATGTTTTCTGGGAGGTTCGCTCACTCAAATGACTGGTTTCAATCAAGAATTTCACTTCCGGCTTACTGCCAATGGTTTTTAGACAACACAAGTCTATTGGAAGGTCTCAAATTTTATAAGGTCTCACCTTAAAGCCGAGGAAAATCATATCTATATGGAAAAAATATATACATAAAACGAATAACATAAAATATATGTACATTCTATTGAGGATGAGAATGCTCCTTCATATCTAATTCTAAAATACCTTAAAATCTTATGTAAGGTAATGAGCTGACAGCAATACACATTGTTTGGTTTTAGAGGCATTTTAATCACTGAGAACTCGGTAATTGTGAATAACAGCTCCCCTCTCCAACAGTCGGCTGACTGTTTGTTATCTGTCGGCTGACTGTTGGTAGTCTGTCGGCCAACTCTCGGCAATCTGTCAGCCGACTGTTGGCCAACAGTTGGCCAACAGTTGGCCAACTGTCGACCAACACCTTACCGACAGTTGACCGACAGATTTATTTAGATTTTTCTGAAAAGATAACTTCCTGTAGGACATCTGTTGGCCAACAGTCGACCGACTGTTGGTTGACTGTCAGTGATCTGTTGGTAAGGTGTTGGCAATCGGTTGGTAGAATGTTGGTAACTTCATGCCAATTATTGCCTGGAAAAGTGTATGATTTACAACCCTTGATAATCGTATTGAAAAGGTAAAATGAAACTCTCAATAGTCGCTGGCTCTTTTATGTTAGTTCAGAACAATTTCTAGGCAATTTCTCTTCCAACACACTTCAATTCTCGGTTCATTCGCCATTTTGGATTTTTAACTTTGCCCCAATCCCCCTCTGAATTTCGCACGGTCTCAAGTAAATCAGTGCACGTTGTTATGACTTATTTTTATTGGTGGCTCTTAAGGAGCCGTTTGTGTGTTAGGAGAGACTGCTTTAATTGTAAAATCGATCATCGAATTTGAGCGGCAACAGCTGTCCCTCTTGTCGCATGTTTGCCATAGCTGGCAGGTGTCACTGAAGTCTTCTCCTGCAGACTGTTTCTAGGTCTTTAACAGAGCCCACGCATATTTCTCGTGATGCCGATTCAAATTAGCGCTCATCTACGGTTCGTAATTCAGCGAGAGAAGACTTTATTTATTGAGGATAGCACGTGATAGTGCACAAACACTAATAAACTTGTGGTCCTCCTAATTACAATAAATATATAAATACAATAGAATCATTAATAGAATGAAATATAAATAGAAAATTAGCTAAAACAAGTAAGAATATATAAAACTACTATCAATAAAATTTACGGATTAAAATGAGCTAAGCATGATTGGTCCTTATAGTAATATTTAAATACGTTGTCTTTAAAGGCCTTAAGTGTATTAGACTTTTTTAATTCAGGCTTTAACTGATTCCATAATTTTATGGCAGAAACTAGAAAAGTTTTTCCCTCCTTCTCTAGCCCTTTTAAACTTAGGTAATAAAAAGTTGTATTTACAAAATCTAGTGTTGCGTGAATGTACTGAACTTAATAATCTTAAGCTATCATTAAGATAATTAGGTACACAATAATTAATCCTTTTAAATAGTATTGAACATTTAGCCATCCTAGTAGAGTCATAAAATGGTATCCACTTTAAACGATTGAATAGCATAACTGATGAACTACGTGGTTCAGCATCTAATAAAACCCTAGCAGCTCTCTTTTGTAGCCTAAGTGTTCTTAAAAGAGATTCATTAGAGCAAAGTGACTGCCATGCAACATTGGCATAATCAAATAATGGCTTAATTAAACTATTATAAAATAAAAGTCTTTGGTTAAATGGTAAACAAAGTTTGATCTTATTCAAAATTCCAATTCTTTTGTGAATTTTTTTACACAGTCTGTCAACATAAGTGTTCATTGATAAATCGTGGTCAATGTCTATACCAAGAAGTTTAGCTGAGGGTACTTGTTCCAATGATACACCATTCATAGTTTTAAGAGATAAATTATAACCATCTGGTAGTTTCTTCCCAAGGCGTTTGCCTGTGACCAGTAGTGTTTTAGTCTTTTTTCATTGAGAGGAAGTTTATTGGTGTGCGTCCAGCATTCAATTTCCTTCAAAGAAGCAGCTAGTGAATCTTGTAGAGAATCAACCGCTGAGATATCTGCCGATAATGTCAGTGTGGTGTCATCAGCATAGAGATCCAGGTCAGCACCATTAACATGTAGAGGCAAATCATTGATATAAATGACAAAAAGTAAAGGGCCAAGGATACTACCCTGTGGAACACCATGCCTCACAAGAGTAGAGTCAGATGTCACATTATCAATAGCAATAAATTGATGTCTATCAGTCAAGTATGAACTAAACCATTTACTTGCAACTGGAGTTAAACCATAGGCATTCAGCTTTTGCAAAAGAATTTCACGGTCAACCATATCAAAAGCTTTCCTGTAATCAACTAAAAGAAGACCGCTGACTTGATCATTGTCTAGATTAAATAACAAATTGTCTATGACTCGTATAAGAGCAGTGTCTGTTCCATGGTGTTTCCGAAAACCTGACTGTAAAGGGTACAATAGATTGTTTTCACATAAGTAATTATAGAGATGATCGTGTATATGACGTTCCAGAATCTTTGACAAAACAGGTAATATCGAAATGGGTCGATAATTGTCAGGATCCTCACGGTCCCCAGATTTAAACAACGGAATGACTTTCGCTATCTTCCAACAATCAGGGAATACACCAGAATTAATTGAAATATTCAAGATTTGAGTAATTGAATAAGCAATAGCTGGTCCTGCTATTTTCAGATATCTTGCACTTATCTTGTCAATACCCATAGCTTTGTTTGTTTTAAGTCCTAACAGAGCACCCAGCACAAAATCTTTGGTAACAGGAGGAATATTGAAAAGAACATCCGGATCTTTTCTTGAACAAACAAAGTTTTCAACCTTTGAATTGCAATAAGGTACATTAGGTAGTAGATTCCTCAGTGAATCAGCAATTGAAGTGAAGTGATCATTAAACTTTTCGGCCAAAACAACATTTGGCGTCTCAACTGATTTTGATACATCGCCCATTAGTGATTTTATGGTTTTCCACATCTTTTAGAGTTTCCCTTGTTGTTGTTGAAACAGGTATTATAGTATTTATATTTCGCACTGCGAATCATGTTTACAACTTTATTCCTCGCGATTTTGAAGCAGTTCCAATCCGTGACACAACGACTTTGCCTTGCTTTACGTAGTAAAGAATCCTTTTTGCGAAGCGCTTGTAAAATATTCACAGTCATCCATGGAGCTTGATTTTGTTTGGCTACTTTCTTTACTCGCCACGGACAGTGGGCATCCAAGATGTTAATGAAGAGACCCATCCATGCATTTAAGATATCAGTTAAATCGTCAAAGACAAATGCAGTATTCAAGGAACTTCTTTGAGGTCGGAAATGAAGGCGGATTTGTCAAAATGCTTCGTATTACGATATTTAATCGTTAAAGATTTATTTTGACGCTTGGCGTTATCCTCATATAAACGAACTCCAAATACAGGCAATGATCTGACAGCCCATTGTTTTTGACGACAATAGACTTAATTCTTTCAGGAAAATTTGACAATACAAAGTCAAGACAGGTTCCGCTTGATGGTCGAGTAACTTCAGTAATGAGCTGTTTGAAATTCATGTTAGAAAAGGCACGTCCAAGGGATGTTTCTTGTACGCCGGAGAAATAAAATTAATGTTGATATCGCCAGTAATGATGGTTTCTAAATTTAATAGATAAACTAATTCTAACATATTCTCGATGGCCTCATCCTCTGATAAATTAGTTGAAGGAGGTCTGTAAATGCCGGCGAATAAAATGGGACGGTTAGATTTGAATGGAAAGACTTCCAACCACAATGCTTCTATATTATTATTATGCTCAATGTCGACTCTCCTTCGATGTTTCAGATCGTCATTCACATAAATTAGAACCCCACCACCATTTTTTTCAGGCCCATCCGATCCTTTCGGTGCACTGTGAAACCAGGGACTGAGTATAGACAATCTGGGAGGAGCGGTTTCAAAAACGTCTCATTGATTGATAAAATATCCAAACGTGGTCGACCATCTTCATTAAGAAGGAACAATTTTATTTGTTCTAGTTTTGTAGTCGTAAGCCTGTTGACATTCCAAGAACCAAAGGTATGCCTTTGTGACCAAGATGTAGGTTAAAGTAGTCAAAGCCATCAGGCGATAAATCATTTTGCGAAGAATCATCTGAGTCATTATGAAACTCAACAGTATCGTCCACTGACTCTTCATCGCTTGTAAGCGAAAACAAAGCTTGAGTTTTCACCAAACCTTGGCTCCCAGGACGTACAGTTTGTGGCCCTGGATTAGTAGAGACGTCTCCAGCTAACATAAGTAGAAATAGAGTAGACAATCCAACTTCCAAAACGAAAAGAGAAGCTTTGGCCTTTAAACATGGCGGCAGTACAGCACCATTCACCTTTCGAGGACCGTTATTGCGACTTGGAAAAACTCTACTGTCCAATTTTAGTGACAGAAAGAGAGATTCACCACTTGGAATTTGATTTTGCCATATACTTATAGGACTAAGGCTATAACATAGTAATAAAATTAAAATAAAACGGGAGCTCAAGAAGAGCAGTGAACGCGCCATGTTAACACGTCTATTAACCAGCGATGGCGATGAAATCTTGGATGGTGCTGCGGGGACAACCAGCCAGCCAAAATGCATTTGCCATGCTGCAGTTGTTTTGCTTAAGGATTTGTAGCACCCTCTGATATCTTGTGTGGATTGTGGCCAGACTGTGGGTGCTGGCGCGAGTTGCGTCTTTCTGTTGAGGTTGCTGCTGAGGTTCGTCAGCTGAGCGTTGGCACAGAGTCTTAAGCTCAGCCTTGAGCTCGGCAATAGTCCTTTTGGCATCCACCAACTTAGTTTGCAGAGTCTTGATGGCCTCTGACTTTGTTTGCACTAGATTGGCCAACTCCTCTGCATCTTTTTCTTGTTCCTCCAACTTGGCAGCAAGTTCTTGATTCTGCGGTTGTTGGTTTTGGAAGGACTGGCCCACCCTCTCGTGGTCTTTCACCAAAGTGTCGTCCTTTTTTTTAAGCTCTTGGTAGCTCGGCTTATCTTCAGGTTGTTGATTGCTCTGGGGGGCCTTCCTCTTCTTTTTTTGAGGTGGCTGAGCTGGACAAGAACATTGCCGGTTATGACCAGAACAGACAGCACACTTGTTGATACAATTAAAAATTAAGTGGTCGCCGCCGCAGATCGTACATTCAAAAGTCGTTGACACATTGTTTCTTGTTTGTGAATAAATACGTAAGGATTTTATTTCTCTTCACAAAGGCATCCCCCCTGATTGGATTAATAAGAAGACCAAAATTGTCAAGAATCGCACACGTATTATACATACATGACATACCAATATACCAAAAATTAGGATCGCATTGCATTATAGGGCGATTCTTCACTGCGCTTTTCGATGGAGAATATTAACACACTTTCGTTTAATGCACAGGGAATGTGCGTGTGCCTTTAAGTTTTAGTGGCATTTTGAAAAATTTTAAGCATTTATAGTAAGTTTTACATTGATTTTTGAGTGCAAAAATGCACTAGTAAAGTTATTTCACCGCCTGTCGCTAACCTGTTGGTTACCTGTTGGTGGCCTGTCGGTTTAGTGTCGGCAGACTGTCGGTTTAGTTGGCAGACTGTCGGTGGAGGGGAGCTATTCTTCACAATAACCGAGAACTCTGTTTGCCTCAATCTCCCCAATTGCTCACCAGTCGTTTTGTACCCATGGATCTTTTGTACCCAGACGATTTGTACCCAGACGATTTGTACCCAGGCTCAAACATTTCATACCGACTTTTGATCAGTTCGTACCCAACCCTCTGGTCGATTTGTACCCAACAAATTATGAGACAAAATGTTTAAAATAAACATAAACACTTATTTCATTTATCCTAGTAATCGCAAAAAAGCTAATTTCTAATTACAGATAGAAACATTCAAAAGTTATCTTTTAGTTAATACTCTTGAAAAATCGTGACCTTGTTGACCCATCCTAATATACTTTGCCTACTACTACGCAGCGCCTACGACTAAACTTACCCTCTCTACTCAGTAAAAAAGCTAATTTCTAAATCATAGTAATGTTGAAAAGTTATCTTACTCTTAAACAATCGTGACATAGTTGTCCTAGCTGACCTATCCTAATATATTTTGCCCATTATCACAGAGCACCTGTATGACTAAACATACTTATTCTACTCAGTAATAAATAAAAATCCTAGTGGTAAGTTCAGTTCAGTTCAGTGCATCACTGGCCTGTTTATATTGGCACATCCTTTAAGCAGCTGCCTGAGTGACTTCTCCTTCTTGTTGACGGCCTCCCAAAGTTTGAAGAGCCGCCTCTGCACTTCACAATAGGTGGACCTCTGCATTCGCTCAAGCTAGCACTCAGAGACCAGATGAATTTGTAGCAACACTAGTCTCGCTTCTTTGTGCAGTAGGGCCACAAACATGTAGAGGGGCAGACTCCATCAACCAGCAGCTCTTCTGTTCAAGCTATGATGTCAGCCCTTGATATCATTGTTTGTTCTGATTGATTGCATAAATACGCTCCAGCACTTGGGGGGCCAAACTGTGCTGCAAATCCAGTTTTCCTCGATGTAACTGACAAATTTCTGTAGAGGCTCCATCTTGGCTTCTGGTTTTAGGCTGTCGAAGGTTGCATACTCTCAAAGTTAGGTAAACTAACAAGCGAAGCAGAACAGAATTCACACTTCCAAGGGATGTCTTCACCAGATTCGACTGCGTCCCTGTAGGTTTCTTATGATACTCCACTGTTGCAGCCATTGCACAAAAGAGCTTCTCGACGCTTGTTGACAAATGTTTTACACGTGATACACTGATATGCCATTTTCCTTGAAAGTTTGTCTAAGCAGTAAAAATGAACGAATGTTGAGAAAGTTTTCTCGGAGCTTTTTACAGCTGGACCCTTGCACCAAATAGATCGAAATTCTGGTCATTTCATTGGTCAATGCTCATATTGTTTAGTCTCTTTGTTGCAACATTCTTATTTAATACTGTAGAAAAAAAAGGACGAAATCACACCTACCTTGTGCGCGACACTAATTAGCTGTTACTGTCAAGAAACTCACAAGTATAAACGATAAAAAAGTAAATAACAGTTGTCTTTTGCGGGCCACTCACACAAGTATGAACCAAACAACTTTATAGGTATATAAAAAATATCTTCATTTGCGTTTTAATCGTTTTGAGAAGTTTCGCAAGCAAAACCTTCAAAAATGTTTTATAGGTGGACCCTCGGACCAAAACGATCGAAATTCTGACCATTTCGCTAGTTAATGCTAGTGTTGTTTACTCGCTTTGTTACAATATTCTAATACATTTGAAATGAAAGAAAAATCACATCTTGCGCACGATAATAATTAGCTGTTATTGCCAAGAAACTTGCAAGTATAAACAATAGAAAAGCAAATAACACTTACCTTATGCGGGTCACTGACACTTTAATTGTTAAGTAAAGTTCAACAATATGACAAATAAGATCACACATATACCTTGCGCATGCGAGCTTGCATCTTAATTATTTTGCGATTACCAGGATAAATGAAGTGAATGTTTGTTTGTTTTAAACATTTTGTCATAATTTGTTGGGTACAAATCGCCCAGAGGGTTGGGTGTGAACTGATCGAAAGTGGGTACGAAACGTCTGAGCCTGGGTACAAATCGCCTGGGTACAAATCGCCTGGGTAAGAAAGATCCATGGGTACGAAATGACTGAATACCCCCTAACTATACACCCATAATCAAGTACAGGAAGTTTCGGTTTACAAATTTTGAACAAAAATTCACATGGCTCTTGATATTCCAAATGTGAATAAGTCACCTGGATAAATTTCTTTGTGAACTTTGTATTAATTATGCAGCTGATAAACAGGAATGAAGAACTTTGAGAGGAAGTTCTCTTTGTTCTGTCTCATCTAAAGTGCCAGTGGGACAAGTAAATAAGAAAGAGATGGGGATCTCCCAACTGCGTGCACACTCATTGGTATATCACAGTGACGACAGTCGCTCCAGACTCCCCTGTGTTACCTGATACACCAATTTCTGCACTGAGACATTGAATTACAAAGTGAAAAGTGGTACTCACTTTTATCGTTTTGAAATTAACCAAACAGGGCTGGGCACTGTCCAGTGACAGCATTTATCATTATTTTTCCTGTAGAAACATAAGACTACTCATATTGATTGCTTCTAAAGTGTGTTGGTCAAATATCAATGCCTTGAAATTATTGATGCAAAGTTGTTGCTAGTGAAAGAGATGATGATCATGATGCTGTCTCTGTCTAGAAATGGATCCAGTTTGTGAAGAGAACTTGTCTTCCTTAACACAGTCTTCTTTTCTCTGTCCAGTGCACAACTACCGTACTTTGCGATCACTTGGATGTTTTGGAGACTTTATTTCTGAAGTAAGCTACTCTTAATTCCATTGGGAAGTGAATTCCAAAACCTAGAGGCTGATACTTGAAAAGTCCTAGCACCTCCTGATTCTCTTTTATACTTAAGACGAATTAATTAAAAAACCCATATCTACTTTGTCTTTCAGTGGCACGCATGTCGATGTTTCGTCTGAGTAATTCTAACATATAATCGGGACACACCCCGTTCAAATGTTTATTTAAATTATCAACAGATGTAGAAACCCACACACTGGAGCCATACATTATTTGTCTGATCATGGCATTGTAATATAGAATTTGTTGATCTAAAGGTAAATGATGCCTGATCTTTTTTCAAAAAAGCAGTACGCTGTGTTAGCTTCTTACATAGATTATCGATATTCTCATTAAAAATTAAGCTGTGTCAATAATTATGCCTAAAAGTTTTTGAGACTGGACTTATTCGAGTTCAACTGAGTTGACATGGACAGTGAGTGAGGTGCTGTTCGTCTTCTTATGTAGGCGTTTGCCAGCTACTAACATAGTTTTAGTTTTGGATTCGTTTAGTCCCATTTTATTGTCTGTGGTCCATTGTGCAACTTTACCAGCATCAGCTTGAAGAACTTGATTTAAGGCTGTCAGTGCTGATCTATATTTAATCTGCTGCTGAATATTCTAGTATCTGGTAGATGGTCTATAAATATAAGAAACAAGACTGGTCCTAGGATACTTCCTTGAGCCACTCCAAGGTTTGCATCTCTGAGAGTTGAAAGACAACCATCCATGTTTACATATTGGTGAAACAGAGAATTAACTCTGAAGTGTAAATTAAAGTGCTACTTAAACCCATGAATAACCCACAGGGCGTTAGCCCTAATAAAGGGAAACAGGGAACCACACGAGGCAAAGAAAAAATCTTTTGGCCTTGGTGGGAATCGAACCCACGACCTCCGGATTAGATCTACCGTTACTCTGCCGACTGAGCTACGAGGTCGCACAGAGAAAGTCGGGGACGATTTAGGATGGTGACAATTTACACTTCAGAGTTAATTCTCTGTTTCACCATTTGTGTTCCCAGTGCTACGCGGCACAACATTCATATGTTTACATATTGCTTGTTTACAAAATAATAATGATAATCATCAGCAGCATCCGAAGTATCATCGTCATCATCATCATCATCATAACTGATCATCTAAGGTCCACGATTTGGACTTGGTGCTTCAGAAACTTAACATACAAGCCAAGAACTCACATTTCTATGATGAAGATGATGACGATAACAATAATAATAATAATAATAACCCAACAGCAACTCATGATATTTGTCCATTCAATGTATTCAAGCAATAAATAACATTGAAAGTTTCAAGTTATAAAAGTGCTAAAAATGATACAAGTAATTAGGTAATATAAATAATACAATATAACATAATAAGTAAAAATTATGTAACTCAGTTATGCACCACAATTATGGGCTAACAGACAGTTTAAATGCTGTTCATCGATATCTGAGATTCAGAGCCTACCTTGGAATATCACTTAACCAGGGAGAGAGGAAGCTTTTCAATTTTTTCCCTGGTTCTGCTGGAGGGCATGCTCTGTTAGCAACACTTCTTGCCCTGAGAAGCACATAAACAAAACAGTGACTAAAATTAAACAAGGTTCACAAGTTTGAAAGACACAACATGAAAATCCTGCCCAGCCAGATGCAAGCAGTGACAAAGAAAAGTTTTCCCAGTGATAACTGCAATTTACGCCTTGTGCAGGTGGAAAGGTGGAGCCACTGCAAAAACTCCGCATGAAGTTCCAATAAATGATCATTAGGTACCTCTGAGAGGATTTGTTATGTATCGTTGAGACGCCCCAGGCAAATCGTCCATGTAAAGGGAGGACAGTCTTTTTCGGGAGATGATTGTAGACCCAGTTTGCCAAATAACTCTTTAATTTGACAGGGCAGATGAACGCATACTGAAGAGGCACCTAGTATCAAAATGCAAAAAAACTGTCCCACCGAAAGCCAAGATATTTATAGTCTTTTGCTGTTAACCTCCTAGCTAATCTAGGGGTAAATTGACGTGAGTGTTTCTCAAATCTCTGGGAAAAAATCCTAGTTAACTTAACGACGTAACCTAAACAATTTTTATTTTGTTAAAAAAAATAACTGTCAGAGCATCACTCTCAACATTTGTCTTAGTAGCTATCTTTCCTTCTGCATTGTTACTATTATTGACATTTTTTCTCTAAGTATAGTTCTGTTTCCCTCGGGCATTTATCATATTTAAGCAACTAAACTAAACTGGAGGCTGATTGGAAAACTTAACAGTTATTAAGCTTCCAGGCTCTTCATTTGCACAATTCCTCTGTATGTTGTCAGTAAATTTTTATATTGCAAAATTTAATGTACAAGAGTGAATAAAGTAAAGTAAAAGGAGAAGGATCTAAACTGCATTAAAATCGCGCACACGCTTCTATATCAATAATTGTGTGAAGGGATCTTTTCAAGTTACGCAATGTTCCAGGTAAGAGCTAAGAGAGGTATTAAATACAATTGAAAAGCGGAGGAACTCAATGAAAAAAATAATACAAACGTTTTCATTTGACTGTATTTCTTAAATCTAAATGTAAGCTTGCTCACCTCTTATCACATCGCCTATTCTTGTAAACGATTACCATTTTTTGCATCATCATTTTCGACTCAGTTAGCTCTCTCAGTTATTGCATAGAAACATTACTTGTCCTTTTCCAAAATATAATATTTCAAGACCAACTTGACAATAATCAGGTCTTCTGGGTCCATCTCATCCAAAAAAGAAGGACATTTGCTGTGACTTCCTGCTTCCTGGTCTCCTTCACCGGGAAGGGGAACACCTTTTTTTCACATGAATCAGGCATCAACACTATTCTAGAGACATAAAGCGTAAAGTCATAAATGATCTGTGGTGAATCATGATAAAGTTGATTTTCTTTTTAACAGATTTTAGAGTCAGAGTTTCAGTTTACATGGTGGTAGATTTCCTCACTCCTACGAAATTGATAACTGTTGTGAAATATGTCAGCTGTATGCAAGTACTTTGGCTTGTTATCAGCAGTGATCATTTATCTTCTAAACTGCATTCCAGAGTCAAGAGCAAGAATCTATCCTTAATTATTAAATGATTCACTGACCTTGTTTCCTCTACCACTGGCATTGCTTTGGACACCAGCTCCAAGGGCATTCCCGCAGATCGTAGATGCGCCCTCCACCTGTTTCCATTTGGGCACCTGGACTCAGTGCTGTACAGCTGTGGCTCCCAGATGTCACTCCACTTTTCTCCCCTCCAGCTGAAGGAGAACACACCTTTCTCTTCTAAACTCCATCTTGGTTTGGTTCTCTGAAATGAAACTGAATGTTCAGTTCATGTTCATATCACATCTTTTTTTTTTAATATTCTTATAATTCAAGCATCTCACCTGGAAATGCATCTGGCACTGCAGAAGCTGGACCTCTTCTTCCTGCAGAACAATGTGGGCAGAGGCTGCATTTATCGAGTGCTGCAGTACATCCTTCTGCTTTACCATGGTAATGCAGCCAGGCACTATACAGCAGACCGTTCTTTCTGGGCACTCGCTCAAATGAAGCATCAAGTGGAGCCTACAAAAGAAATAAAGTAGGTGTGGCTGCCATGGGTGACTTTCAGCAATAAATACAGACAGTTTTTAATGCGACTTAATGATATATTCTATTTCAACAATCTCTGATACCAGTTGGTAGCATCATTTAAAACTGTAAACAAAATAACAAGTGAAAACCTATTACAATTTAAATTAAACTAAATACACTTAGGAAAATTACAATGAAAATAATGATGAAGCTTACAAAATACCAAAACCCACATTTGCTGGAATGCTGTAGTGCTGAATTAATGCCTAACGGCGAAGAGGCTGCATGACGTATGACATAATGAAATATGATCAGAAGAAATATATGAAATATGATCGCAAGCGGACTCGCTGAGTAAAACTAACAACTTCAACGAACACAATATGTTGAATACTTGCTATGTTACATTGCAAAGTGCATGCATAAAGTTTTACTGTAATCGGTGTTGTTTGTTTGAAAAACAATAGACAAAAGAAAAAGACATTTGTGTTTTATAGTAGGGACCAGAGATGAGCTGGCTAGTGCAACTTTTGGATATTTTATTGGCCTAGATAACCATTTTACATTTGATTGCATAATTAAATTGACAATAGCTTGCCATAGAAGGCTTGTTCCGCAGCCTGGTGGACATAATATTCTCTTATTAGAACAAAGGGAAGCAGCATGCCCCTCTAAACATTCCCTTGTTACTTTCCTACCGCATTCCTGGCAAGGGACCTTGTGCTTTGCATATTAGGCAATGTATGCTGCCATCCCCTCCCTTGCCACCATCTCTCCACACCCTTCATTTGCACACTGCGTTGTCAACTTTCCATATGCTTTTAAGTGTTGCTTGTGCTCGTGAAACTTCCCTGTCATAGACAACCACAACTTTCATACTTGACATCAAACTTTCCTATGATGTCGTTGACTGCAATGTTGATGTGAAGAGTACCTATTCCGATGGGAGCCTTGCAAAGTGGGCATTTGGGGACAGTTTCAATGTCTATGAGTTTCACTAGGCAGTGTCAACAGCCTGAATGTTCAAATGCTAGAGTCACAGGCTTCACCATTGTCGATAGGCTTCAAAGTAAAAGATTGCATTACATTAGTACATTTCCTCTCAAAACTAGTATCGATACATCAAGTAATGCCCTTCAAAGAGGCCCCTACTAGCAAGGAATTCAGTTCAAACAGCTACAATCGTAAAAGTTGTTGAAGGACAGTGGAATTTAATCATGGAGAAATGATTTATAACTCAGAGTTATAACAAACACAAAACATAAATGTAGTTGGTCAAATTCCTGTTGAAGGAGCAGCATTTCTCTCATGTCAGAAAGACAACCGGGAAAGTATAAACTATTTCAGTTGAAAGCAAATGGCCTAATTATTTTTTAACCCTCTGTTAGTCATGGGTATGTTATTTATTATTTAAACCTTTTGTCTTTTATTACTAGAAAAATATCACAAATTCACTTAGAATCTCATTTTCCCAGGAAGTGCTAATTTATTCCCACAGTTAAAAAGATTTGCACAAAACATTTCAACGAATATCTAAAGTTGGGGAAAACAACGAGACCTAAAAATTGGAGAAGTGCTTCCTTAACCTATCTCCCATAACATTGTAATTTCTTAACCTAATCCACTAAACATCTTCTCTTGATGCGCAACAGTGAAAATGATCAATTGCAGAAGGATAAAAATCATCACAATGGAAACAAAAGGACTTTCCATACACAACAGTTAAATAGCATGCGGGGAGAAAAAGTAAACTCAAAATGCGCATGAGTCAGCAATTATGGCAATAATCATGTACTGTAAAAAGGGTTGGTGTTGTTCATCATGGTGAGTATACTATGTTTTGATATATTGTCACCAACATGAGTAGTGGTATCCACTCACTCAGGGGTGATTTTTTCGAATTCTCCCAACCTGACCTTTTTGATCCTATCACCATAACAACCTGACCTATGACGTCATCAGTTCTAGTTAGAAGTATTGATTTTTTATCCTATGACGTCATCATTATCACTATAACAACCTACCTATGACGTCATCAATTCTAGCTAGGAATATTGACTTTTTGATCCTATGACGTCATCACTATCACCCTGACAACCTAAAAGTGGATTGGGTTCGAATGAATATATACCTGTCACGTTTCGATCTTTCCAATCCATGTGATAACCTAAAAAAATGCGCATGCGTAGTTCATAAAAATGACTTCCCAGTCCCCCTCTCGTGTGAGAGCATTAAACCCGTATCTCCAGTGGCAATGGGGCACGCCTCGAGGGGTTGGTTACCTTCGACTTGTGTTTTGATTCCGTGATTGCTACGAAAGATGCGGGTGGGTATCATGGAGTAGTCATCTCGACTCATTGTCGCTGGGACTATTTAAACTATTTACAATTTTTTTTTTGTTTTGTTTTTTTGTTTTTCTTTTTTGTAAAAAGAGGTTAGATGAAGCTTGGTGACCGTCAGAATAAGAATTATAGAGAAGTGAGCAGTTCAGTCACGTGCGCGTCCTCTTCTGTCCACCGCTCATACCCATACGGGAAAGTTTGGAACATGTCAGGATTCACCACGCGCTTGTTGTAGACCAACTTGTATTTTTTTTTTGTTGGGCCGTGGTGGACAATTGGTATTCTTGGGCGTTCCTCACGATTTTGTATGGTATGGGCATGGCGGTGACGCGTGCCTCGCCAGACTCCAGCGGGGAAGTCAAGTCTTCTAGCACATTGTTTTTGAGGACTTCAAAATTGACATATCTCTTCCCCAGACTATTGAGTGTGATGCCTCAGACTTTATAGTCCTCTTTACCTTTTGTAGGTCTTGTACCCGTAGTTTTTTGGACCTCTGGAGGCAAATTCCACTATATAATTGTCTGGCGGCAATTCGTCCTTAAAGTCCCCCAGATAATCTCCCAGTGGTGGCTCGGGCATTCCCTGGGCGGAAAGGAACACGACTGAGTCCGTGTCTTTGTACAGTACTCGCTCTTGTAAGATGTCGAGAGCGTCATAGAGTTTAAGACGAGCCCAACAGTTCGTGAAACAGGCCACGAATATGTTCAGGTTGGGCAAGATGGATTCGTCTTCCTCCAGTAAAGTGTATTGTACTTCCACCCGATCGTCTGACTGTATACCGACGTACTTGATTTGGAGGGTGTCGCTGTTACAGAAGGTGGAAAATTTTGGGGGGTCATCAAATTCCCGGACTTGTGTCTTGTTGGTACGCTGACCAAATTTACCCCACATGGAGTTTAACATCATCTTGGCCAGCGTACGCAGTCCGGGATTTTTCTCGATCTTTTCCGGGTCCAATTCGATCCCCTCTTTGTCTCTGTAATCGTCCAAGTGTCGTTGACGTTTCAGGGGATCGTCGCCCACGTGACTCGGCCACCCGCTGGCCTCTTCCTTGATCTTGAGCCACGTGTTCACGTAGTCTTTGAAGAGCCCTCTGCGAGTGGTCGGGAAATGCCACACTTCGTGTATGCAGACGACTGTGTATCCCTTCTCAATAGCCTTGAGGAGTTCTGCTGTGTACCAGGTCCCCACGAGTTGGCGTTCTGAATCCGTGTGAGTATAGACGGGAGTATGTTCCAGAAAGGGTTTGGACATTTCCTCGGTCACGCAGGAGGCACAGAGCGGAAAGTTGAGTTTGCCGGCATGACGGTAAGGTGGCACAGGATGGAAGAGACCGTGGGGTGGAAGCAACGTGCATTTCGCTAAGCCGAAATAACGAGAAAGGTCCAACTTTTTTTTATCTTTTTCTTTAATTAACAAAAGATACTGTATTGTTACCATAAAACACTGATACGGCAAAGAATTCGCAAATGTTTTGCGTGTACCAAAACGTTAGCTAAGCAAACCAATGTTTTATTTTACCTTTTCCTTTAATTAACCAAAGATACGGTATTGTTACTCATAGAATATTCATGGGGCAAAGAATTTAAATAATGTATCTACATGTTTGTGGATGATGTTTCGCGTATACCAAGACTTTAGTTAATAAATCAGTGCTTAAATTTACCTCTTTCTTTAATTAACAAAAGATACTGTATTGTTACCCATAGAACACTGATACAGCAAAGAATTCGAAAACGTTTGTAAACAACGCTCTGCATGTACCAAAACATTAGCTAATAAATCAATTTACCTTTTTCTTGAGTAAAGGAGGCGGTATTAAATGGTATAAAAGGACCTTGAGTTTCTATTGTGGTTACAAAATCAGAATTGTTGGTGATGCAATGACAAGGTCTATGCTTATCACATAAAAGAAAAATATGATTTGATTTAGTTACCGCTATTATTTACCGGTAAGTTGTGGAGGTGTATTCTACTACACAAGGAAGAAATGTCTGGAAATCGCTGAAAACAATAAGCACCCTGTTATCTTTGATGGCGACATGGCCTTCAACCAAAAAATGAAGAGATAACTGAATACTGTACGATTTGCCTGATGATGGTTGATACTGATTTGCGGAATGCCACCACATGTGGTATTGCAGCGTGAACGTATCAGGGTCTTAAAAGATAAAAGCTCCATTAGAGTAATTATCCATAAACATAAATTTTTAGCAAACTTTTTTAGTTCATGGAAACGTCAACAAGATGACCACATTCTTAACCTTTTCATTGGTAGTAGTTTTCCGCTTTCTACATTTGTAAATTAATTTTTTCTTTTTTTTAACCGTTACAGTAACGGGAGAAATTGGTGGAGAAATGCAGAAAATAATTATTCGTTACATAGTGTGTTTGTTGATTCTTTTTTGTAATCAAAGATTTATTTTCTTTTACTGCTACTACTATTGTTCATCCATCGTTTCAGTTTAGATTTTGAACATTATATTTTAGTCAGTTTAGATACTGTAATCCTGGGTCAGTGTTGAAATAAAGCTTTGAAAGAAATACTAGTGTTGTTTGCTCAGGCATTTAGCATGTGGATAGGTCCTCCCTTGCCTCTCCCCTCTTTAGGTTAGTTATAAAATAAACTTTGAAAGAAATACTAGCATAGTTTGCTCAAGTATTTAACATTTGAATGGACTCTCCCTCTACTCTCCTTCAGCAATCCCTCGGCTCTCCCCTCGGCTTTTCCTTGTGCTGGTGACCTGCTTTCATGGCTTGATGATTACATGTCTGCACGTAAACAGTTTGTCCAAGTATCATGATATCAGTCCAGGTCCAAAACCATCACATAAGGAGTTTCCCAGGGTTCAATATTTGGGCCCAAATTGTTGTAAACAACCTTCCAGAATTGATAACAAGTGGTGATTTATTCATGTTTGCTGATGATACCACAATTGCTACAATAAAAGCTTATTTATTGCTAGCTTATTTATTGTTACAATACAATTGGCAAGAACATTGACAATATCATCTTGACACTACAAGCTATATTAGTTTTCAATAAAGTTTACGAGTCGTCAACTTCCCCTGTCGCCATGAATGATCAACTAAAAAGGTTCAAAGGAATGGTCTGGGGCTAGCTTTGTTGACTCAGTTGAGTTGCGGTCAGCTGAGCTTGTTGCTAGCAGAAAACGATCATATGTAAATTCCCTCTGAGTTGAAAACAAACCTTTTGAAGGTGCTTCTTTGATTGCATGTTTTTATGATATCGGCATGATTGATTTTTTCTTCCTGTAAGATACAATGGGTGGCTGGTTAAAAGATATGTGCAAGTCTAGGCTCCTGTTGAATGATGTGCCAGTGTTCCATGAGAACCTTTTAAAGATTTGGTGTGGCCGGGTTATACATGGTAACAAACGGTAAAATTTCTTTCGCCTTCTTTGTTTTGTTACAAAGGGTCTTTGTTCTGAAGAACTGAACTCCAGTATGGATTTTATGCATAAACGTCACAGGATAGCCTCTAAGTCTTTGCTGAAGATCTCGTTTGTGTTTATCAAAATTCTCCTTTACTGAGTTGGTTCTTAACAGACAGTGCTTCTCCTTTGATAAAACCTTTTTTGTTTTAAAAGGGTGACAGGATGAGAAGTGTGTATTCTGAAAAGTTTCAGTGAGCTTGATGTGGGTTTGTGAATCGAGAATTTTAAGAGTTGAGGTCCTTTGAATATCTCTGTGCTAAGAAAAACAGTGTTCACATGACATTTCAGAAGTAGACTTGATTGTGGGGTGGAATGAGTTGGCGAAGTCTACAAAAATAAAAATTTCCTCTGTTGGAATGTTCCACCTCTTGCAGATGAATGGTCTAAGTGGACTAGCTAATACCAGTCATTTCTCTAGGTCTGCCAAGAAATAAAAGAAAAAGTGACTGCCATTATAGTTCCCATAGCGGTGCCGTGAGTTTGTATAAAGTGTTTTTCATTCAAATTGAGAGAATTTTCTTTAAGCATAAACCACATTAGTTCCCATAAATCACTTGTAGGGAAAGGTAATTTCTGCTCATAGTGATCTTTGTAATAGTGGCAAACAATATCAATTCCTTCTTCTTGATGACTGTTGGTGTAGATAGACTAACATCAAGTGTGGTTAGGACCACATCATCTGGAATTTGCGTGTTTTTAATAAAATTGAGAAAGTCCATAGTGTTTTTATATAGGACTCTTATTTTATGGCAATAGGTTGTATTAGTGAGTCTACAAAACTAGAGATATGTTCTGTTGGACCACTACTCCCAGAGATGATTGGTATGCCAACAGGTGTTTTCTTATGGATTTTAGTCAGCATGTAAAATTCTGGTGTACGTGGTTGTTTAAGGCTAATTGTGAGTCTTTTGGTTGATGTGTCCCAAGTAGTGTAGTTTATTAACCAGTTTGTTTACTTTTCGGGCAGTGTCTTGCACAATAGGTGATGGGAGAGGCTTGTGAACATTGGTGTCAGTCTGACAGATTAATAGCCCACAAATTGAAGTCTGAAGCACTGAGGACTTTGAATCAGAACTTTATTGACCCCTCACCACACTGGAAATACAGTAATGGTACCATTGAGTAAAAACTATCATCTAGATGTCTTGGGTTAACAATCGACAACAAGCTTTCATGGGCATGCTAAGAGCACATTGTGAATGTTTTTAAGTCGTCCAGCAAGAAAGTGGCAGTTTTAAAACAGATAAAGTTTTTACGGAAACCAATCTTTGAAACTGTTTATTACAAAACAATTATCCCTAGTGTTTTGTACCTCATTGTAATTCAGGGGTTTTGTTTTTCAGTATTAATAGATGATATTGATCGAGTTCATTTACTAGCAAACAGAATTATTTACAATCTACCCCATGATATCCATTGTGATGATATCATGAATGCTCTACACTGGAACTTTATAACTTCATTTTACATCAAAAGACTTGTAGTTATTATAATGTCCACAGCAGAAAACAGGCAAGAACTACTCCACAAAACAGCTTTGATTTCGGTAAACACAAAACTTGGTTACCACATGTAATCTTGTTATATATCTCTTAAAGAAAAACAAATTCCCAGGTCACTGAACTAAATAACCACTGACCTATCATGAACATTACAGTTATCACAAATAATATCTATTATGGAAACAGTGTCGAATCCCTCAATTACTTAATAGTTTAACCTGAGACTACCTATCACTTTGCAAAGCCCTTAAGTGTCAAGAGTCATAGCCAAGAACTGAAGTAGGCGGATCTTCCCTCAAACACAGAGCTGCATTATCCTGGAACCTCCTTCCTGATGACATCAAAAACTGTTCTAACTTAGCTACTTTCAGGAGAAAACCTAAGGAAAACAAGAATATTCTAAAATCTACTCTTCCTGTGGAATATGAAGAGCATGAATTTGAACTTGAATGTGATCTTTGTTTTGTGGACTCTTGCAGAGAGTTTGCATGCCCTAGTAGTCTTTGTGCCAGTGCCGATCGCATGGGCAATGATTCCGACAATATTTCTCACTGACTACAATAGTGCCTGTGATTTAGGTTCAGATGGTAAGGATGATATGGAGTCAGAGCTAAGAGATGTTGAAGCAGTCTCTGTTGGTGACAATGAGGAAGAGAATGTAAAGAAGTTTGTACAGGATACCACGCTCAGTGGATATGAAACAGAAAATGGGATGCTCCATAAATCATTTCAAACAACTTTCAGAATGGGGTAAAGATATGCATAGAAGTGGAAATAAGGATGCTGTTGCTCACTAACCAAAAAGTGGTGTGATGTACAAACTCTACTGAAAGAACTGGATTTTTCTGAACCAAAACATTACCGGATTTGTTTTGGTAATGACCGTTTAAGTCACTATGGGTTGACGCAATCAAGAGATGAACCTTGACCCTATTGTGGTAATTCAGGAACAATCTCATACTACTTCTTGGGCCTATCAGATGAAGTAAAAGAACTGGTGCTCCTCTCCAGAAATGAGCCAGAAAATGACTGGCCATTAGTAGCAATGTGACCACTTGCTTCCTGATGAGTTGAAAGATGGTTGGGAGTTCAGTGAAGCATGAAACTGGGGATGGAACAGTTTTGTCCTTTAAGACGCGAGAGAGCAAGATAGTGAGTCTGAGTCCAGTAAGCTTCTTTGAACACAAACTTTAATTACTTGAGAGGCAGGTTACCTTTAGAGCTAACGAAACAACAACAACGCGATAGCGACTCTCTTATTATGAAAATGTTTTTGTCGTGTAACCCGAGAACTGACACGTGAGTAGTCCGAAGTGATTACATAACCAGTCCAGAAAGTTACATAACAGTTGAGAGTTACATAAGAAAGAAAAAGCAAACGTTGATGTCCGGAAGGTTTTTTTTGCATATCATAACATCTTTCCCTTTTTCCTATTTTTTCTTTCTTTTTTTTCTTAACTATAACTCAATGTCAAACTTTTTAGGTGGCTTGATCAATCGTCCATGTCGTGTCCGTATTTCAGTTGTAGTAGCTTCGTGAGGTGGTCTTGCACTCAGCTCTGTTTGAGGTGTTGGGGGTAGTTGAGATCTTGGAGGGGACATGGATGTTCCTACTTGAGAACTTGCTGGAGGGGTTGGTCCTGTTCCTGCAGATTGTCTGGAACGGTCAGGTCATCTTCGTCCATTTTGAAGGGGTTTCTTGAAGTGGTTCCATGGTAGAACGCAACTGCTTGCGATTACGCCTGTAGAATCTACCATTGACTTCAACCTTGTAACTGCGAGATGCCACTTTAGAAGAAACAACTGCTTTTGACCACTTTGTTTCTCCAGGCATCTTCATGCGCACTATGTCACCTGATTTGAGTTCTGAGAGTTGTTTAGCATGTTGGTCGAAATGTTTCGCTTGCTTAACACGATCCCTTTTGAGAAGATCACTAACTGTTTGGTCAGTCTTGAGTAAAGACTCTGAGAAGGGTAGAAGTGTCTTAGTTCGGCGACCAAAAGTCGTTGGCATGGAGACATACCTGTCGCAGCAGTGGGGGGTGTTGTGGTGATCCAATAAACCAAGATATGGATCGGATTGAGACAGAAGAGCTTTCTTCATTAAAGTCTTGCAGGTTTTGACTGCGCTTTCGGCCATCCCATTAGCTTGTGGATAGTGTGGTGAGGTGGTGATATGAGTGAACTTCCACGTTACTGCAAATCTTCGGAACTCTGAGGATGAGTACTGAGGACCGTTGTCAGAAACTACGTAATCGGGTACCCCATGTCGGGAAAAATGCATCTTCAGCTTGTGAACGACTGTCTGGGACGTAGTATCGGCAAGATGATCCAGCTCGATAAAGTTGCTGTAGTAATCAACTAATACGAGGTAGTTTCGGTTCTCGAAGGTAAACAAATCTGTTCCAACTCGTTGCCATGGCCTGTCAGGAACTGGGTGAGGCTGAAGAGGTTCACTGGCTTGTTCAGGTCTCACACTTTGGCATATAGAGCATTTATCAATACGATTCTTGAGTTGTGCAGACATTCCTGGCCAGAAGAAAACCTCTCTGGCCCTTCGAAGGCATGCTTGGAGTCCCTGATGGGACTTGTGTGTTTCCTCTATCATGTCACGGCGAAGGCTCTCTGGGACAACGATCTTCGTTCCTTTGAAAACTATGCCATTTTGGAGCGTCATTTCATCTCGGTATTTGAAGAAAAGCTGTGCGCTTGTAGGTACCATGGAAGTTTTTTGTAGGCCAGCCAGCGCGTATAACTTGTGACAACGCTAGTAAAGATTCATCCTTGGCCGTTTCCACTTGAAACTTGGCAAGTGTCGACTCTGATATCGATAAGTCTTCAACAAAGTTGACAGTTTCTAGATCTTTATAGCAGGATGAGGTGCTAGCATTTGGTACCTTTGACTGCTTAGGTAGAACGCGAGAAAGTGTGTCAGCGATGTACATCTCTTTGCCTGGCTTGTAAGTGAGATTCAGGTCAAATCTTTGAAGACGTAGCATCATACGCTGTAATCTCTTAGAAGCTGTATTGATTGGCTTCTTCTGTATAGCAATCAGTGGCTTGTGATCTGTTTCGACTGTGACGTGCTTGCCATAAATGTAATGCTCGAAGTGCTCACAAGAGAATACAACAGCTAAGAGCTCCTTCTCAATCTGTGCGTAATTTTGCTCTGTCGACGTCAGTGCCCTGTTGGCGTAGTGAACTGGCTGTCCTTCCTGAAGTAGAGTTGCGCCAATGCCATACTGTGAGGCATCGCACTGTATAGTGACATTCTTACTCACGTCAAAGTACTGTAGGACTGGGGCTTTAGTGATGAGCTCTTTTATCTCCTTGAAGGCTTTATCTTGGGGGTGTTGCCAATGCCATTCTATTTCCTTCTTTTCCAACTGTCTTAAGGGCTGTGATGCTGTAGACAGATGTTGGCAGAATTTCGCCAGATACTGCACCATTCCCAGAAACGTTCTGAGTTCAGCGAGATTGGTAGGCACTGGATAGTCCACTATAGCTTGTACCTTTGACGGGTCAGGTTTTAGACCTTCCGCTGTAAGGAGGTGTCCTATGAAAGGAACTTGTGACTGTCGAAGTTCAACTTCTCGCTGTTGAGAGTGAGGTTTCTTTCTCTTGCGCGACTGAGGAAAGCCTTGAGATTCTGATCATGGTTGGCAATTGCAGCTTCATTAGAGTCTCCAAAACCGCAAACTAGGAAATCATCGGCGATGACTTCAACACCTGCGAGTCCTTCTACTAGCTCGTGCATTCGTTGTTGCCATACTTCTGGGGCTGAGTTTATTCCGAATGGCATTCTGAGCCATCGATAGCGACCAAAAGGTGTGTTCATGGTTGTCAAGTAACTACTCTTTTCATCAAGTTGTACCTGCCAGAATCCACATTTGGCATCTAACACGCTAAAGACTTTAGCACCACTAAGGCGAGTTGCTACTTCCTCAATAGTTGGAAGTGGATAATGCGAGCGTTTCACTGCGCGGTTGAGATCTCGAGGATCCAGACATACTCGTATTTTCCCGTTAGATTTCTTCACTATGACAAGGCTAGAGACCCATGATGTCGGTTCAACTACCTTGGCGAGGATACCACTCTTCACCATGTTATCCAGCTCTAACTTGAGGGTATCTCGAAGTGGGACTGGCACTTTACGAGGGGGATGTACCACCGGGCGGAAACCTTCGTCCACTTGAATGGAGTAGGTTCCTTCAAGGCAGCCAATTCCAGTGAAGATATCGGTAAATTCATATAGGATAGGATCACTTCTAACATTTGACGAGACGTCAATTCTTTCGTCGTGAATCGCATTTACGTCAGCATCCAAGATTTTGACCAGGTTCATCTTTTCACACGTCGTTCGACAGAGGAGGGGTGTCAAATCTTGCTTCACAATGTGATAAAGAACTCCATATTTTCTTCCTTTCCGTTCAGTAAGTAGGCGGATTTGACCAAGTGGCCAGACTACAGTCTGGTTGTGCATGATGAGCCTTGTAAACGACTGTTCAAGGTTTGTACACTGTTTGTCTCCTGTAGCCCGGATGTAGGC